GTTTTGTATAGATAATAGTTTGTTTTGTCTATACAAAAAAGATAGTAGTCGGTTTTATCTCTAAAAAGAAGAAGATAGTAGTTGATTTTAGAGCTTCATGCACAATCGTTGTGCATTTTAGCAGATTTATTACTGCACATTTCCCCTTTGCGCTTCATTATTTTATCGCTTGACTTCTGATCAAATGCTCCTTTGACTTGCTTTCTTTGCAGGCTATCTATCAAAATTGCATGGCAGTTTTGGACCAATTGTTCGATTGTGGTTAGGACCATCTCAACTACTTGTCTCAGTTAAAGATGCTTCCCTAATCAAAGAGATGCTAACAAAAGCTGAAGATAAGTTACCACTGACTGGGAGGACATATAGTTTAGCTTGTGGAAGACTTGGCCTATTCATTTCCTCATTCGAAAAGGTATGTTGTTGATGTGGATATCTGTAGTATTACGCTTTCTTTTGTCTTGCCATATGTGTTACTATGCTAGTTATAATTGGTAGACGGTACATACATTATTGGTTTGATCTTGTGTTTACTTCTTTTGATGCTCTTGTCCTTCTTTTCAGGTCAAAAGTACCAGGGAATCACTGAACATATTCTTGAATGAAAAACTTAACGTCGCTGCCAGTGAAAGTTCTTTCAAGATCATTGAAGCTGTTCTCCATAGAACCGACTCTACTAAGGACAAGGATTCTCTGGACTGCAGATCTTTTTCCCAACACATGGCATTTAACATCATCGGTGCAGCTCTTTTTGGTGATGTCTTGTTTGATTGGTCTGATGCTGCAGCATATGAGGAGCTTCTGATGGTTGTTGCAAAGGACGGCTGCTTCTGGGCTTCGTATGCGGTTCCCCCATTTTGGAAACCTGGTTATAGGAGGTACCGGACCCTATGCGCTAAGCTGAAGATCTTAACAGAAAGCATCATCAGAAAATCCATAGACCAAAATGGTGCACTTAGACATAACAATCTGAGCTCCTGTAAGATAAGTGAAGGGGTGGTAAAAGATCCAGTTAGATGTACTTCTCTGCTAGATGGGATGATATCAGGTCGTGGTTTCGATGGGGCTGTGCAAGGGCCTCTCAGTTCAGAAGAAGAAATATGTGGGAATATCGTGGGTTTGATGCTGCATGGAATTTCCACATCTGCTAACTTGATCTGCAACATTTTGACGAGACTTGTCTTGTATCCAAAGCTGAAAGACCAGGTACATGTTTTTATTTCTCTGTGGCAAGTTGTCCTGCTTGCTCTTTGTCTGATGTTAACACTGGTGCTTCTTACCGCCTTCTTGTTCGTATGATGAAATGAACATATATGTTCTAAACATGTCACATGGTTACATAAGTTTCATAGCCCCCATCACTTTTCATTTTTATTCATTGCTTCCACCCCACTGTATATTATTTTGAATTCTTGGTTGTCTCAGGGTTATATGGCGTGTGCATAATATATGTTTTTCTAGTTTGTCCGACTTGGGTGAAGTGACCTTTACTCCATGTCCACATCAACTAAAATGTTCTTGTCGGTGTGTGTTTGAGTTTATACTGTTTGACTTTGACTTACAGTTGCTGCTTCTTTGGACAGCTATATGCAGATATTGTTGCAGTTCACACTGAATCATCTGAGCTGGTGATGGATGACGTGCTTAAGATGCAATTTGTACTTGCCACTGTTTGTGAATCTGCTCGCCTTTTGCCTGCTGGACCTCTTCTCCAGCGATGTTCTATGCAATACGGTACACATGCTTCTTAAGAAAGAAAAATCTTCAGCAACACTGAGCTTTAGAGCTTGTTTACCTGTATGATTACATGGTCTTATCATTCATTTTCAAAATTGTTTACACGTTCCTTATGTTGAAATTATGCCTTTATCCTGAATTTCATTTACACATCTAGCTGCAAGAGAGATCAAGTGTTACTGATTCCTAGTAGTGTCTTTGCTATATTATTGATCTCGCTTTGATTTGAATTGCAGATTTGACTCTCAAATCTAGCAGCACTATACCAGCTGAAGCGATATTGGTTGTTCCTCTGCATCTCGTGCAGATGGATGCTTCTATATGGGGAAATGATGCTTGCCAGTTCAATCCTAGTCGTTTTCTC